GATTGCTGGTGTTTTGGAGAAAACACATCCCAGATTTCTCCATCGTAGCCCACCTTCTATACAATTTAACATGAAAAAGAGCCACCAGGGACTGGACCCCTATTCATGAAGAAGCCTTAAAGCTGTTACTTTTTGAGGCTGGGGTACATTAGGCCTTAGGGCCAATATACCAAATAGATCTACTCCATATCAAATGGGGCTTTGCAATTCATGGACTATCCACACATATGTGGCAATGAAGACCTGAGGGTTTTATTCACACAGTTTTAAAGGTGCTGAAAAAATTATATTCAAGGGCCTTTTTGTGGTTAGTCTAGCTTTACAGAAAGCTGAGAAAATCATACAACAACCAATCATTCTACGAGGACCTTTTAAGGTCTTGAAACTGGTACTGGCCAGAACCTACCCTCCTGTGAGGGTTGCGCAAGGGGAAACGGTCAGGCAGTGTATGTGCAATTAGATAACTATTGCCATATGCATCAGATAGAGGAGGGAGCACCCAAGGTGCTTCATATGCAAGAACTGCCCAATAATCAGCTGGACTCCTGACCTCCTCCTTCTTATACAAACCTGCCCCCTGATTTGAACCCCATCTAAAGAACATATGGTTCACTGACATGTCCTGTAGAAGAGAGGGAAAGGTATAGAAATATCAAATGGTGGCCTTGCATGTTAATTCAGAGAACTGAATTGTGACAGAGGGCAAGGGAAATGCTCAGGTGGGAGAATTGATAGCAGTGATTACTAGAGAAGCCGAGACTAAAGAACCAGTATTTATTTGCACTGATTCATATACTGTGTTCAAGAAATGCACCAAATGGCTCCCATTCTGGGAACAAAACAAATGGGAGATCAATCGAGTACTGGTATGGCAATGAGAAAAGTGGAAAGAAGTCCTAAACTCTCCTAAACAGAAGTCCTTTCTGGTAGGATGGGTTGTGGCACACATAGCAGAGGATCATGTAGCTCATCATTTGAATAACCAAGTAGATTCACTGGCCCACTTAGCAAGGGTGGCTGTGGAGGGTGAGGAGGAAATATGGGATCATTTGTTGGAACGCTTGCATGTAAAATGAGGCCGTTCAGGAAGTAAAGATGTGTTCAAGGAGGCAGTTAGCAGAGGGTGGTTTGTAACCAGAGCGTTATGTAATGCCCATTATTTCCGTGTGCAGCCTGTGACATGTTTGATTAGGAGAACACAACCCTCTTAAGGACCAACCTCTACACTTAAGAGATAATAAAGGGTTATGGCACTGTTGGCAGGTGGACTACATTGGTACATTTTGGAGCTCCAAAGGAAAACAGTATGTTCTTGTAGGAGTTGAAGTGGTGTCAGGGTTAACCCAAGCTGAAGCAGTATGGCAGGCAATGGGAGATAGTGCTGTGAAAGGTCTAAAGACACAGTTTAGCTATTTACCCAAATCACATAATGGAAGCCACTTTACTTCCAGGGCGGTTCAAGAGCAGGCATGGGATGAAGGGATCCGATGGGTCTTTCATATCCCATATTAACCCCAGGCTAATGGCATCGTCAAACACATCAATGGGCTCCTGAAGCAAACCCTAAAACCTCATGAACTGGGATGGGCACAATGGATGTCAGATGTGGTATATAAAGTCAGTAGCCACTGGGGAATTAATGGATGCCCATGAGTTAACCATGTTCTATCCTAAGCCTCTGTCCATACTGTCCAGAAAAAAGGAGACTGAGGACCCGATGAACCCACTCCATTATCCAGAACAACCTGTTCTAGTAGACCTGCTGACAGTAGGAACAATGCTCCTAACCTTAAAGAACCCACTCAGTCTTTAAACTAAGGCGACTACTGATGCGCATGGAAGAATCACTGTATTCATACCTGATGGATTGTCCCATCCTTTTAATCATTATTCATCTTTGTGTACATGTTTTGCAGGTTGTCAGAAGCCCACCATGGGGCTTATATTTTCAATTATTGAGTGGGTCATGCTTTGCATTGTTGGTCTGATCTTATTAAACCTGGTTTTATTCTTTACTAGGGAAAAATGGTGTGGGAGAAGTTATGTTCTTACCTTGTGGATGTGTAATCTCGATTCAGTCAACTGGGAATTTGGATAACCGACCCAACATGGCATGAGAACCTATTACTGGCTTTATCTGAATCCAGAGTTGAACAGACCAAGATCTTTGTATAGACCTCCACACGTCTGTGTCAGTGGGTCTTAAATTTGCCATCATTTGGCAAAATTTTTCATGAATAACGAATTTGAAACTAGAGATGTTAAACCAAAAGTGTATTCAAGATACACATGGGAAGGAAAAATGTTTGTGGGGAGCTGACTCATTCCCATTCCACGTGAAACAATTTGGTGCATAACCTCGCTGGTAGCCTAACGATTTCCAGTTAACATGACCTGGGAAAATATGTGCAATGCTACCTGTTGGAAGCAACAGCTCTGCAAAGGAAATACAAATGCCACCCTTGCAGCCCAAAGAAAGTGGACATCACATCCCTAAGAGGTGAAAATTCCTTGTAATCACATACTGAAATAGACGTGGTGTCCCTGAGAGGTGGAGATCCCTTGTAGTCATGTATGTTGGTGGGTCACTCCACCTCATGATGAACCTCTACACCACTAATATAACATTCCACTATTCCTGAGTTGGTGTATTCAAGCTCCTGACAAATGGGGTGGCTATGCTCACCATAACAGCTCTTGGTATGAATGTGCTTGGTTCCTTAAACATTTTTTGTCCAATACAAATAATATAATCTATATGAATTACTGTCTATACTTATCCTTATACTGCCCTGCAAATCTATGCTTACCATGCTAATGAATTGGGACAGAGGTGCTCGAGGAGAAATGTGTGTTTGCATGTGTTGAATCCGACTGAAATGATGATGCCCAGACAAGTCATGGGGCCTTTCATCTTTGGGTTGAGTTGCTAGTCAAGGAGCGGATGTGACTACTGACCCTGAAGCCACTGTGGGTCCCTGTGTGTATTCATTCATATTTTGAATTGCTCTGATTTGGTTCAATGACAAAATGTGAACCTGCTGTGTCAGGACATCCCGCAGGTCGGGCTCCCCGTGCGGTCTCCCATTGTCATGCTGAGCCTGTAACAAGGTCTGCAACCCACTGCCATGCTAAGCTCTCATCTCCATCAATACTCAGAAGCATGCTCAACCCTGCAGGTTTAGAACACATCTAAAATCCTGGAGCAACAAAGAGAGGATTCACTATTGCAACATATCATAATGCTCTCTCCAGCAGCCTTTCAAGCCTGCAGGTTCCCACAGCACCACACACAATAAAAGTAGTGCATCAGCCATTAAAAAAAGGAGTAATATCTGGGGTAGAAGGTGGGTGCTGCTCAGCTGAATGGACTTCGCTTGACCTGTCCTACCTACTCTTGTAGAAAGCTTAGAGGAAGTCTGTTCTAGGCCCGCATATCTTAACTTATGACTCTAGAAAGACTAAATATTGTGCTTTCTAACGAAAAGTTCCCAGAACATCTTCTGGTTAAGCCATGGCCTTTAAAATAATTAAGCAAGGTGTTCAAACACCTTAGGCTCCACCTAGTGGGTAAGAGGGTTTTAAGCAACCAATTATTATACCTGAGGGATAAAAGTAGTCCTTTGAGGCTGTATTCGCTCCAAGTGTGCTTCTACATAGGCACCATTGCATGTCAGAAAATCTGAGCTGGCAGGTACGTAATTTGAGTAATTGGACTGAACTTCTTTTTGAAGAACTAAATTTGCAAGTGCCACAGGTGTTGAAGATGGCCTTACACCCCTTTCTAGCACTGGATATGCTATTAGTCAAAGAATAGTGTGTGTTGAGAGCTGAACCATTCAGATGGAGAATGTTGTTACACAATGTCACAACCACAATTGAGGAAGCTTGTCAGAAACTGTGAGAAATTGTAGCCAAGACAGGAGACCTGTTCCAGTCAATGTTACTGAATGAATGGAAGATGGATTGGAACACCGCCTCATGGATCTCAGCTTTACTCAAAAAACTTGGATTTAATGGTATGGTGGGGTCTAGTAGTAGAAGCTCTAGTAATGCTTTTGGTGATACTACCTGGCCTAGTTATCAGCTTTGCTATAATAAGGCATCTTCTAAACTGCTTATTCTCTGCTTTTTCTTCTTCAATACCCTATGTTCAGATCACTACTGTTGAAAGGGACCTTGGAGTGTTTGAGCCCACAGAGTGCTGTAAGGGGTGAGCCTCAAGTGCCTCTGCCGTAAGCCCAGGCCATGCCTCAAGAGGAGCCTCCAAAAGTCCCCAAAGAGGCTGGAGCTGGGCACAGGGAGGGGCCTACTGTCACTCCTCTTGACCGATTGGTATCTCAGCCACTCCTGGTGCTGGAGAGAGGGAAGGTTCCAGAAGTCCTGGAACTGGGGCCAATATATAGAGACACATCACTCATTCTGGGGCTTGCTGGGCTTCTTGCCGAATAGCCTCCTTGACAAGTCCAACGCTGGACCTAGGATTTGTGATCTCTCTCTGTCTCAATCTTTCTCTCTCTTTTCCTCTCTTCTCTCTCTCTTCTTCTCTCTCCCCTTAAAGGTGTCAAGTTCCCATAATGCAGCATAGCTTAGGTAGATATATTTGTGGGAGGGCCAACATTTATAGAATGTTTGTTCCTATTAAAGCTGATGTTTGTGTTTGGATCCGAAGTGCTTTTTCACTTTAATCCACACTGAGAGGATTTGCGAACCTTAGTCACTCCCTCCTCTCCACAGGCGAAGGGTGACAGCAGTTGCCTTATCAGCAGCTCTGGTTTCAAGTCTCTCTCCTAGGAAAGTTTTGCTAAGGAGAAGCCTTGAGATCAGTACCAGCCATAAAGCCATAGAAATGTCACAGGAACCTCCTAAATTACTCTGTGATTTGGGATTTGGAGGGCTTTGCAATTTACAAGCTCTGCTTTTAAGCACTGTATTTGTGAAAAATTCACACAACCAGAGCTTTTCATTAAATCCGTTATTGACCGTTTTCCCCTCAGACCATGTCCTCCTCCATCAGAATCGAATCTGTCGTGAAGGAGAAGAACAGGATGGGAGAGTGCCCGGTCTGGGAAGAAAGGGAGTGTGCACTCGTCTATGTTGACATTAACTCACAGAAAGTTTGCCGCTGGAGCCCACTCACCAATGAGGTGCAGAGTGTGTCTGTGGGTAAGAGTCTATACTCTCCACTTCATCCTGGGAATCTTCTGTGCCCACCTCGTCCATCCCTTCAAGTAGGAGTCCTGCAGCATGGTGGTCTCCCTTACTTTCCTGGTGGCCACACAGCCCGCCCTCCCATGACATGTTGCTAAGCATGATGTGGCCAGAGCCAGGTGAGCAGAGGTGATTGTGCTCAGATGTGGAGGGCCATGCACACGTTGCCCTTGCTAAGTCCCAGTGAGAAGGCATGTTTCATTTGGGACCTGCAGAGGAAAAGGTACAGTCCAAATGGCTATGTCTGCCCAGAAGGTGGAATGATCTGGAGAACATAGAGCCAGTGGGATGTGCTAAAGATTTTAGCATCAGCTCAGCCTTTCCCAGGTCAGGAATGTCCTGATCAAGCCCACATGCCTGAGGTGAGGTCAGGAGGGGTAGGGCTGACTGATGGCCCAGGAGCTGCCCACCATCTCCCACTACTCTTTGCTTGCAGATGCCCGCGTTGGCTCAGTGGCATTGCGGCAGTGTGGAGGCTACGTCATTGCCCTGGGGACCAGGTTTGCCTTTCTGGACTGGGACACTCAGGAGGTCACCACCATCCTTGAGCTCGAGCAGGATAAACCCAACAACAGGTTCAATGATGGGAAAGTGGATCCAAAAGGGAGGTTTTTTGCTGGTAAGTTCCTGGCAGAAATTTCCCCCAGATCAAAGAGGATCTGATTACAGTGTATTTTATATAATGCATTTTATTCTGTGTTCTTGACTCCTCTGTTGAGTTCCCCACAAAAACCAACGTAGCAAGCATGAGCTCTCTTGTGAACACTTGGTTGCTGCCCAAAGGAGCAGGACAAGGGACCCCACTTCCTCTGACATAAATGAGGACAGAGGCTGTTGACAAGGACTGTCTGGCAGGAAGGCTCCTCTTCTACTTGGTGGATAGTGATTTTCAAACATCTCCCTACACAGGGGGTGAAAAGTTGGTGAAGGGTTCATGCAGGTGGGAAGGTTTCTGGAGATGTAGAAGAGAATGCAGCTCCTAGAGCATAAGATAAGCTGTGGCGTGCACCCTTCATGTACAGCCTTCCCCCTGGGGAGCAGGGATGTGGGGAGAGATCCTGCCTCCTGAAGGCAAGAAGGACTTTTGCCACTGGTTGCAATGCAGCAAAGATCCCCCTGTGCTTTTTCTTCTCCCATATAAATGATGAGCCAAGCACAGCAGTCCATGTTGAAAGTGGAGAGTGACTGAAGGGAGTGAAAATGGCTCTGTATTTGTTTTGCCAGCCAGCCTCTTCTTATTATTTCAAATTTGACAAAAATCAGGAAATTCATTTGACTTGTAGTTATGCCCAAGGGCTGACATGTCATTAGAGTTAAAGGCAAGAATAAGCGAGAAAAAGCTGCTTTGCAACAGGGGTTTTGGCCAAATGATGTAAAACAAGCTCGTAAGGTCTTTTAGGAGGAGAGACAGAGACAGTCTGTGACAGTTAAAAGAAGGTGTAAATACCCTCCTTGAGTGCTTCCCATCGTGTTGCTGTAGAACTCTCTCTTTTCCAGAGACAAAGAGAATCAGAAACTAAATAGCAAGCATAACACTGAGGCATAAATTCATTAATAAAAATTCTTACTTTTGTGGTATTCTCCACTTGCTTCTGAGATAACCATGATTTACAGCACCTGTATTGTAAAGTCACAGTCCAGTATTTAAATGATAAAAGTAGCCTACAAAAAGCAACAACAAAAAGAGCACATGATGCTTCCCTGCATCTGTGAGCAAAACCTCAGCCCCTGGCATGTTGTGGTGCTCCCTTGGATCTTTGGTGTTTACATGGCTTAAACCTCATGGCAACACAGAAACTTGTCCTTTCATTGGCCAGGATCACTTCCACCAGTCAGCTGCTCCTGACCTGCTCCTTTTCATCAACTTTCTTTTCTTAGTAACACTTAGAGAAGTTTTATGATCAAGTATGAGGAAAAAGTTTCTGCTTTCTAACTAGTGCTCCTATTTCCATTCCAGGTACAATGGCCGAAGAGACAGCACCAGGGGTCCGAGCGAGGCGGCAAGGCGCTCTCTATACTCTTTTCCCTGACTATTCAGTAATAAAACAGTTAGACAAGGTGGACATCTCCAATGGTCTGGATTGGTCCCTGGACCACAGGACCTTCTTTCACATCGACAGCCTGGCATACGCTGTGCATGCCTTCAGCTATGATGTGCATTCTGGAAAGATCGGTACACGTGCTTTTCTAAATTCAGTGACAAGTACTGCTATTACTCTTTCTGCAGCAAGACCTGGGTGTGTAAGATGCAATGATTTATTTGACAGATATAATCTCTTCTGGTTACAGATTTCAGTAGGCTGACTGTGAGTTTTCCCATGTTTAGTTATAAACCAGGGGTATTTAGTGAACAAACTTTTGACAGTCCTTCCACTGAATTTAATCTGAATAGATGTCTTATACGGGAAGAAACCATTTATACTGCAGAGTGAGAATTAGCTTATAGGATGCTATTTATTCTTGAGTGCCATCTACTGGCATGCTCTGATTGTACTAGCTCCATAAATACAAGTACAGAACGTGCATGCATGCCTGTATGTCATGGAAATATATTTTAAAAAATCAAGTTATCATTGAAGTTTCCCAATTCTGAAATGAAAATTGTTTTCAGATGTTTGGCAAATTTCACTTAAAATCATTTTCTGGATGTTTTTAATTATATCTTCAAAAAAAGGAAAATTTAAATGCAAGTGAAATGGATGTAACCTCATTTCAGAACCCTGTGAAATATTTTTGTGCTGTATCAATCTGTCATATTCCATGGTAATTTAAATGGCTGAACTGCCTTTGTACTCCAATGAGTGTGGACTTTGTGTAATCATGGGTGAAAATTGCACAAAATAACTACATTCACTCAGATTTCATTTTGCTGAGGGAAATATATTTCTACAGATTTTGAGATACAAGATTTCTAAAGAAGATTTAATGCAACTTCCCCTCCCCAAGGACAAAAACATAATGAATTTGAGTTTCCTAGCTTTGGTTTTATGCTGATGACTATGTATTTCTGGATGGTGTCACGGCCATAATGTGCTGAGGCCAGAGCAGGCAAAGTGCTGCCCGTGGGCACCACTCCATGGACCATGCATGTGCCCACCAACCCATCTGTGCTGCAGCCGAGACCGCTGACGGTTGGTATATAGGCTTAATCCAAACTGTTAAGTTGACTGGCCATTAAAAAGGAAAGTTCTTGATCTTTAGCCAGCAGAGATTGGTTATGACCAACATTTAAACCCAGGTCATTATTTATGTGATGCATTGCTCGTAAAAAGACGTACAGGCTGCCATGAGCAATGAAAGACCAGGAAAAATTGCTGTGTTTGTGGCAGCTGTGATACGGCGGTCAGCTGGTGGGTTAACAGGAGGGACAGAGGCATTTTGTTCTCTTCCTTGGTAAAATAATAGGAGCTCTAATTCAGTACAATCCCAAACTGCAATGGCTTTACTGGGTGCTTGTTTCTGCCAGGCTAAGTTAGGCTTTTAACACATCTGCTAAATGCATATGTGATATAAATTTTGCAGCATGTCTTTGCCACAGAAAATGAACTTATCTGTTTCCAAGAGTGTGGAAGATGTTAGACTGGGATCTGATACAGAACTGGTACCAGCCCACGTAACACCAGCTTTTAACTCTCCCTGCAGCCTGCCCCAAAGTCCTGTATGATCTAGAAAAGGAAGAGCATATGCCTGATGGGATGTGCATTGATGCAGAGGGAAAGCTCTGGGTGGCCTGTATTGATGGTGGGAGAGTAATTCGTATAGACCCGGAGACAGGTAAGGCCTCCCACCAGCACGTGAGTATTGAGGGTCACCTAATGTGCCACGAATGAAAAAGGAAAGGCAGCCAGGAGGAATGGTTTGAAGGTGAGATAAGAAGGTGTCTTAAGAGATAGGAAGGTGAAAAAGGTGTTCATTGCTTGTTTCTGCCCCACGGGTTACCCTGAGCATCACTGGTTCAGTCCTTGATCATGTGAGGGTGCAGCTCCCCATGCTGCCTCCCAGCATCAGGCACGCCTGTTCCCACGGTCTGCTGATGCAGCACACCCACTTCTTAATAATGCCACTTAAAAAAAATACTGCATATCTATTGTGAGAAACATTATAAACCTGCAATTAAAAAAGAAAAAATTCTCAGCTTTGCAATGTTTAACTCGGAAACACTGTTAGTGAATGACAGGCCCAGGTGTCTCTCACCTTCCTAGCTTCCAGTACCTTATTGCTTCATTTTGAGAAAAGGAAATGAAGTCTCATAGATACAGGAGAGGGGCTGAAAAATAGAGATGATGCAGATGAAAGAATTTCGTTTCCCCACAAACTGTCCTTTAGGATATGGCCTGTCTGAGGGAGTAAATGCTATATCTTCTGAGTAAATGCCATAGCTGCACCATGTGCACTAAAAGTACCATCATATTTACCTGCTTCCTAGCAAATGGATGCTAGGAAACAATCCCATCTTTTTTTCCCAGGAAAAAGAATCCAAACTGTGATGCTGCCTACTCCTAGGATCACCTCTTGCTGCTTTGGTGGAAAAGACTACTCAGAAATGTATGTGACTTCTGCATACGATGGACTGGATGAGACCGCCTTAGCCAAGGAACCTCATGCGGGTGAGATTTTCAAGGTAAGCAGGCTTTATTTCTTCCTATACATCAGACCTGCCAAGTCTTGCACTCAGAGAGTGCTCACTCATCCTGCTCAGGTGATGTTCTGGTCCAGATACGTTGCTTATCCCCCTGGCTGGGTACAGCTGCTTTTGCACAGCTGCTCCTGCATTTGGAAGGAATATGTGGAGAAATTTCTAGTAATAGTGTTGATACGTTGGTTAGCCAAAGTGGATATCTGGCCCAGATCTGAAGGCAGATGGTAGATCTGAGTCTGCCCTGTACAGCATATTCTGTAATACACTGTAAGGAATTGGGTCTTGCTCCTATAGCTTACTACACTATACTTTCAATTCTTGTTTTTTGATCATACCAGAGTATCTAAATACTTCCACACAAATTGCACCTTTAAAAATTATGTGCTTAAACTCCATGGCAAAGCTTTGAATCTCAATCTCAAAACTTTCAGGATTTTTTGAGTCTATTAAAAGTGCATGCTATGTTTTGAGTAACTAATAATCCACATTTTTGTCCAGGGCTCTTGACTCCAAAACTTGTTTTCTTAATTTTTTGGTCTATTAGTAAAAACTACACTGGGAAAATAAAATGTAGTTCTGAAACAGCAGTTACCAGCACTCTCTGAAAGATGACGATAGCATGAAAGGGAAGGGTTGTAAATAAGGTGAAATGGAATTAACCAAATTGTATTATCAGCCTGGCAATAGGATGAAAACATGTTTCAGTAGGAATGGGGATTTAATCTGGGACCTTCTAGTTGAAAGCAGTGCTTGGAACAGATTTCCCATGGCCAAGAACTGATAGATTTCTCAAGCAGCAAAGTTTAGCAGCCCACAGGAGAGCTAAATACCAAAAGATAGTTTCGAGCCTTGCCTTTTTTTCTCTCTTCCTCAGTTCTCCAGTTCTAGAAGGGAATTGGTATTTTCCAAACCCACATTTGTCTTGCATGGCTGAAGTTCATTAAAAGTTGTTATGACTTGTTTTGTTAATACAGAGACAAGGGTCACAAGTAAGTGACACAGATAATGCATAAATTAGCAAAATTATTGAGTGGTACTTGATAATCTTAAAGATCTTAAAGACTTCTAAAGAACTCCATGCAATAACTCTTCTTGGGCTTCTCTAGAAGAAAGAGTATGTTGCTATGATGTTTGAATGTTGTACTCAGTTGGAGATTTAACTTTTTCCTTTCTTTTATTATTTATTTTTTAAAACAGATAACAGGCCTGGGTGTCAAAGGGTTACCACAGAATTTCTATGCTGCTTGAACATTGATGTTAAATAACAAAGAAGAAATGCTTGCATCTTGTAGTAATGCTGACAAGGAGAAGTCCAATGAACTGTAGAACTGATCTGTGTGAGGATTTCTAAATCCACATTTAAGAACGTGCTTGTTTGGAACTGAAGATATTCCTTGTTCTGTGGACCTGTGGCATCATGCAATAGGTTAGAGAGGTAAAGTTAATCTGTTTTACACCTTGACAGCTTTTGTGACTTTCCATAAACCTCTTCAAGCTCAAGCTTAGTTTTTTTGAACTTTCTGATGACCAGCTCTGAATTTTTACATCCTTGCTAGCCAGTTTCCGTCTGCCTTGTCATGAACTCATCTGTCTTGTCTCTAGGACACCATTTATGCTGTTGGAAATAAACCATATTTTAAATAGGCTTTTGGATTTTTTTTTTTCCTGCCTTCTGATATTATCATGAAAATGCTAAGTGGCCACATACATGTCAGGCCACACTACCACTGTCGGTACAACCAAGCTGCAAGCTACCAGAATGGTCTGTGACGTGGCCTCTCCCTCTCCCTCTCCCTCTCCCTCTCCCTCTCCTCTCCAACAAATCTGAGATCCAGAGGACCAAGAAGGGAGCTTTATTCACTAAGCATTATTGAATATACTGGACCACTGAACAGGATTTTCCAAAAGTGCATTGTTTCAATGCGGTTACGTGAAGTCTACAGTGAAACCTGCATTAGGTACTTATTCTACATAATTAATTTAGGTCATCAGCAAGCACTTTGCTCTTGCACTACTTGACCAGATAATTGGTTAATCAGGATAAAGGCTCTTGGCCCATTGCTCTGCTTCACACCTACCTTGCCCTGGAAGTGAGGTGAGTCCATACGGCTATACAAAGACACCTTGATTGAGAAATAAAATGTTTAGTTCATTCTAATGTTTGCTCAACAACCAGGCTGTTGTTTTTTAATCTAGTCATAATTCCAATAGTAATTAAGATCCTGGGGGTTCTTAAGAGCAAAGGTGTTAAATGCCCTACAGCTTTGCGTCAGTGCCAAACTGGTACAAGGAACGGGTATTATGCAAGATTTCCTGTTTACCCAGGCTGGAGAGGAATATGAAGGCAGGATGTCTGGAGGCAAGTCAAATGTCCAAACCTTTAATTAAAAAAAAAAAAAAGTAGGAAGTGTGTGAGATAGTTTCTTTAATAAAAAATGCCAAATTATTGGCAAAATTGCCTATCCACTAGGCTATTTGCTCTGCCAAAAAAGGAAAGTAGATTGTTTTAAAACAATTTTCTGTTGAGAAATCCTTAATACCCTCATAAATTTTTTCTAGAGCTTCCCCAGGCATGCACACTATAATTCTCCAGCCACTCCTTCCCACACCTCTAAAGGGAGATACTCTGCATGCTGCTCTCAGGTCTGAGCACTTTGGGATGTCTCTCTCTTCATAGCATGGCTTCCCAAATTAAAGAAAGGTTTGAAGGCGTATTTCTATCTATCTGGTGCCAAAAGGCCCATTAATTCACTTCTCTTCAGGTTTCAGGACTTACTGTTGTGTGATTTTGCTTTCTAAAAAAAAAAAATCATTGGCTGAAAACTATGGTAGGACTACTCTCCAGCCTTGTTAACTGAAGTAAGGCCTTGAGCAAGACAAAAGACGGGGGTATGGGATTGGAGTCTTTCCCTTTGTGCATGTAGGGAACAATGTCTGTAGTCCTTGGTGAGGATACACTCTGGGTGGGTTTACTGGATGACCAAGTATGTGGGTTGCTGTGGGTCAGCCACACATGGTGAAAAGCACAGCAGGGAGGCTGCTGCCTGCCCCGGGGTAACCTGCTGATGGTGTATCACCGAACATGGGTTACAGGCAGAACTTATAAGAGTTTGTCAACAAGATAGCAGTGACTGATGGGAACTGGTTTGCCTTGTGAGGGATTGCTCTGTACATCCTGCCTATTATAAGCTTTTAAAATTATTTACTCTGTTGAATATGCACTACTATATTTAACCTATACCAGGCTGGTTAAATATTTCTTCTCTTGCATGCTTTTGTGTGTGTTGGGAATAGGCTGCCAACTGGGAAGATTTTTGTTCTTGTGTTTCCTATCCCTTGTGGAACAACCTGACTGTCTTTTTTTGCCTTCCTGAAAAGGTATGTCTTTGAGACAACCTATTAATTCTAAACTGAGGGTTTCCAAATATTCCTAAGTGCATCTAAGATGTGAATGGATCTGGTTAAACATCACATGTGTCCTGGCATTTCTGCTGCACCCACATGCTGCCACAGGCCTGGAATTGGTGAATATGGGGGATGTAGGGTTTTCTCTGCCTGCTTTTACTGATGTGCCTAGGACTCTGGGCAGGAAAGAAGATATAAAAATATTTCTTAATTCTGGATAAGAAGATGTAATAATTTTTCTAGCAATCTCTATTTATTGTTCATATTAACTAACTCATCTTAAAAAGAAACATTAAGGCTGGTCTTTTTGCTAATGAGAGAGAGGATAGACACAAAGTAGCTGGCTTTAAACAAACACATTACTAAATGCCACCTACTGTGGGTAAACGGGTCTCTGGCAGAA